CCAAAAAAATGTTCCTTTTGGTACTTTCAATTACACCGTTTTTCCGCTCAATATTTCTGTGTGTGCATGGCAATGGAGTAAGCAATGATGTTGTAAGATTGATTAGTACGTCATCAATTTTGAACAGTTTTTGCTATAACCTGGCCAAAAAAGGAGTTATCGATCTAAAATTTGGTATGTAGATAGAAGAGGTTGGGGACTATCACATGTATTCCAATTTTTAGATATTCGGGAAAAATTTGGAATTTTTTCGCGTTTTTCTAAAAAATCAATTTTTTTGAATTTTTGTGGGGGCAAAATCCAAAAATTTTGAAAATCCGATAAAACAGTTTTGTAGCGCCGCTTTTTGTCTACATGATCGTATAAAGAACTTTGAAATTGCTTGATAACTGTAGTTTTTGTGAGCGTTTCAAGAATTCATGTTTTTTGCTCATTTTTGCTCGAACATGACATCAGTTTGACGTCAATAAATCCTGACTTAAAGGTAGACTGCCACCTTTTTTCCACAAAACGGTTTTCACTAGAGCTGAGCCACCTATGTCCCAGACTGAAGTCGGTTTTCCGAAATTCGAACCCGTTTGCGAGAAATCGGAGACCAAAGTTCAGTTTGATGCCATTTTTTTAGTCCAAGAAAACCGACATCTCTACTGTTTATCGATAACTTTGAAACATGAATTTTCTTATCTTTTGGTAAATATATGTCAAAACTTTGATTGTTTCGAGATCAGAGAAGAATTTTGGAGTGTCAAAATAAAAGTTAAACTTATATATTCAGTAATTCATTTTTTTCCAAAAAAGTGTGAGAAATGGGGTTTAACATGGGCCAGACCCATTCCAAATGAGCCATGATTTTTAAATGTTTTACGAACTTAAATGCAAAATAAATGAAACATGGCCAATTTCTTATGAAATCATATATTAGTAAATCATAAAATACCTTACTTTTTCAAATAAAATGTAATAATCTTATGACCTTGAAGTCTAGTGATGTGTAAACATTGTCGCTAGACATTAACCGATTGATAATTGTATGATAATCGACAATTTTTTTCGCGATTCACGTGATGATACTTTGTCAGGTGAATTATAAAATTTTGTTTTGTCCAGGGAATAAATCATAGGCCGATCTGAGAAAACTTTTTGAAGGTGGCAGTCTTCCTTTAAGGTGACCTAAGACTTGAAATTTGTGTGAAGGTGTCAAATTGATGCCCGGGAAGGAACTGAAAATTTCGCGGCGCACAGCGCCGCCGTTTTCTTGCTATTCAGGAAAAACCACAGGGGGCCAAATTGCCCCCCCCCCCCAGCGGGGCGAGGTTTAACACGCGCAGTGGAAGGGTTGCGAGTACTACGCCCAGTGGAAGGCGGGGGGGGGGGGGCCGATGATGCCTCCCCTAAGATCTCAGCTCCCACTGGAGCTAGAAAGACGAGATTTGGAGGGTAGGTGAGGGTCATGAGGAGATCTGTTGTGTGTGAATTTCATGACCCTAGGTCAATGTCCTCAAGGTCAAATGAGGTCAAATGTGGGCAAATCTGCCATATGAGCGACTTTTTTGCGTTTACACGCCAATAACTCAAAAAGTTACCGGTCGATTTTCTTTTTTCTTTCACTATACGAAAGAACAAACATTTGTGAGTATGTACATATATGTATGGTGAATTTCTAGATAATCCAACAATAAATATGGCAGTTAGAAGCCTGCTAAGGGTAAGATGTCGCCGGCTGAAGAGGGATCGGTCGACGCGGGAAAAGCGGCAATCACAATTTTGTGTTTACACACTCATAACTCAAGTTGTTACCGGACGATTTTCAAAATTCTTTGACCATATGATTGCCTGTACATTTCTCAGTCTTCTCACCGAATTTGTCGCGAATCTAATATAATCAGCGGTAAGGAGCGCGATGTAAAGACGGAACCGTCCCGCCCCGGCACAGTCTACAATTCAGGCGGCGCGTAACGGCTAGCGCCGGCCGCCGCGCCGCCGCGCCGCCGCGGCGGCAGGATGTTTGACTTTACACCGCTATTACTAGAAAAGTTGCGAACTGATTTTCTTATTTCTTGCACGAGAAGATCTGCAATTCAATTATGGACAGGTAGTCGAAATTTCACATTAATATTATGTTTGCGGCGCGAGTTATTGGCGAAAAACAGGAGTGGTGGGCGAAATCCGCCCCCCCCCCTTCCACTGCGCGTGTTAAGGTGTTGACCTCGGGTCAAGGTCAGGTGAAAGCTCCTCAGGGCCCCGAGCTGGTCGAAGGACATCATTCGATTCGCATGTCCTCCCTAGTCCATTAGTGTCTTTCTCGACTCGCCAGCCCAATTTGAGCGGACTTGATGACGGAAAACTCGCATAAACAATGTTGGGGAAAGCGTCCAGAATAAGCAATTTTGTGGATTTTTTTTCTCCAAAAACTTTTGACTTGAGCATTGTGCGATCTTTCTTTTACTGGCATTATGCGCCTCTCGTGAAATTGCTTCGGATGAGCTATATTACTGTAATTATACTTTGAACGGTCAACTTGAAAATTTGACCTCCGGTAAAGGTCATGACCTGACAGAAAAAGATACCTATTTTATATCAGACTATCTGTATCGTTGACCTTAACACACCCAAGGTATTTTCATCTATCCAACATGCCTATACCAAAGGCATTAGCGAAAACTATTAGATACCTTTCGTGACCTAAGATGACCTCAGAGACATAGAAAGGGGTCACGGGTGCTAATTTCCGTTTCAGTGTGTCATGTTTACTTGCAATTCGGTGCTAGAGAGTGTTTAGAATGACGTTTCCCCAAAAAAGGCGCCTCTCAATTTTCTTCATTATCGACTCATCAACGAGAAGTCGCAAAATTGACCTGACCTTAGGTCACCTAGGTACATCAAAATTATTCGTTAAACATTTTATAAATGCTTTTGCCTTTATGCATTGCTGAAAGATTCAAAGCAGTCCGTCACTCGGTATAGCCATGGCAAGTATTTTCTTTTTGTTTAGGTGAGGTCACTTGCAGTAGCAGCGGAACACCTTCAATTAAGGGGGGAGGGGCACCGCCGACTTTTGGTCCCATTCTTTCCATGCAACGGCCATAGGGCTAATGTTAAAATGCCAAAATCAAAGGGGGCACGGTGCCCCGGTGCCCTCCCGTTCCGCCGCCTATGGTCACTTGAGGTGACTTGGTGACATAACCTTAACCCGCGCCTCGTTGGGCTCTGCCGAGCAACGCGCCCTGTTGGGGGGGGGGGGCAATTTGGCCCCTCCCCTAAGATCTCGAGAACTACGCAACCTAGCGACAAGCGGCAAACGGTGCTGGATAGCCCTATCAGAGAACTACCTTGTGACCCAATTTTATTGACCTAGGTCAAACCGATGACGTCACAGGTCAGGTCAAAGGTGGAAATTTCACCGTTTACAGACATTTCAAGAAATGCATTGTAAAATGGAGTAAAATGCATTTCATTGAAAATCATCGATGGGGAGATGTTCTTCAAACACATATTTTGCTATTTGAGGTCACTGATACCAGGTCAGGTCACAGAGGTCAGGTCACTGAGGTTCACAATATGAAAATATCATGTCATGCATGTATTATGGTCCATTTTATGTCATATACGATTATGTGGGCAGCCAGCCTTTGGGGTCAGTTTATATTATGTTCTGGTGAAGGTCAGGTCAAGGTCAGGTCAAATTAGGTCAAATTTCAAAGTTGATAATTTGCATAAAATGGGTATCGATTCGATGCAACTCGTCACGGGGAGTTCAATGGTGGTCTTTGTTTTGCCCTACGTGGTCTAGAATCGCTAAAAATTGAGTTCAAAAATTTGACGGCATCATTTTTGAACAGTTTTTTCGCTATAACTTGGCAAAAAAAAAAAACAAGATATCGATCTGAAATTTGATATGTATATAGAAGAGGGCAGGAACTATCACATTTTGTCCGTTTTTTCGAAATTCTGATTTTTTTGGATTTTTTAGTTTTCTAAAAAAAAAATCAATTTTTGAGTTTTGGGGGATCAAAAACCCAAAATTTTGAAAATCCGAGATAACAGTTTTGTAGCCCCGCTTTTTGTCTACTAGACCATATAAAGAACTTTGAAATTGCTTGGTAACTGTAGATTTGGTGAGCGTTTCAAGATTGCATGTTTTTTGCTCATTTTTGCTCGAACATGACCTCAGTTTGACCTCAATAACTCCTGATCTAAGGTGACCTAAGACTTGAAATTTGGTGTGAAGGTGTCAAATTGATGCCCGGGAAGGTCTGAAAATTTGGTGGCGCTGCGTACCGCCGCTTTCTTGCTATTTAGGAAAAACCACAGGGGGGCCAAATTGGCCCCCCAACGGGGCAAGGGTTAAAAGACCTTAGTCTGAAATTTTTACAACATGTGCAAAAAATGTATAAAAAGTTGTGCCAAAAACGGCTCAAACACAACGTTTTTGCGCGGCACTGTAGCATTGTTTGCTCCTGAGTTTTGCGCCGACTGGTAAAACAATGTCGAAAAAGGCAAAATTTGACTTTTGATGATCTCTGGTGATCTGACCTTTGATATGACCTAAAAAAATATCATGTATTTCGATCATAATTGTTGACACTATGGAATGCCGCTACCCTGGCCCACGAGCCGAGTTAGATGGGGGAGGGGGGGGGGGGCGAGCGGCCCGGCGTGGCTGATGCACTCGCGGAGCACCGGCTCGCCGCGGATTTATTGTGGTCTGTTCTGCAGCGATGCCATCAATTTGACATCAGCAGTCCTTTGAGTTATTGCAGGTGCCCGTGGCTGTTGCGTCGCGCTACCCGCAATGTAAAGACAGATGGCACCGCATCGCATCCGTTTCTCATGCGAACCAGAGTTGCATCACCCCCCCCCCCCCCCGCCTTTGCCACATGAACAAACATTGCATCAGCCCCCTCCCCCTTCCCCTCCAGCGCAAACTCGCACATTCGGGGCACATGTAACGGTGAGAACCACTTCTACCTACACATATGTCGCCCATGATAGGCGATGTTAGTCGCAGTATATATGTGGGCCATTGTCAGTGCATGTCGCATCTGTTAGTTTTTCTCAGGGTAGGTAGTCGGACCAAGCAGCAAAACGTTGAACGGTATACTGTAGGTAAGTACGAGTACATTGTTGTGGATTTCATGTCCTTTTTTTTTCTTTGTCATCATTGTATCGTATAAATGTGACCAGCATTTTGATTTCATGGAACCTTTTCTCGCTTATGCTATTTACCGTGCTATTTACCGGACAGTGCTTAAAGCCACGGATCACGTCCCATCTACATCGGACCTCATCGGCAACATAAGGCATTGTCAGTGCATGAAAAGTCAGTACATAACACTTAACGGCTATTTTTCATCCCCTCACCCTCCATCCCTGGCTTGGTTTTCATTCGGAAAAAGTTGTGTTTTGATAGATTTGAATGCCTCAAGCTGGTGAACGGCACGGTGACGTGAACGGGGAGCATTGCAAGCGATTCACAGCCATTCCGCCCCCCCCCCCCTCCCCGACCAAAAAATCGGAGGGGCTCTGTCCCCTGCCGGCCCTCCCTTTCGATATCCCGTGCCTATATAAATGCTAACCTTTGGATGATTGTCCGCAGTTGCACAGACCCGGAATCATGAAGGTGCTGCTGGTGATCGCTTTGGCTCAGCTGGCCGTCGGCTTTGAGCTGACCGACCCCGATTGGGTCGCCTTCAAGGTCAGTACCTACCACCAAGGTCATGTCGAGGCTCCGTGTTGGGCATTCTTCAGAGCAAATTAGGGCCGACTGAATACCATGGCCCGCAAGGGTATCAACTTTTAAGTAAAATCCGATACATACATGATACAAGTTGTAAGAATTCTAAGGATACACTACGTTCAGTACGTTTCATCTTCCCTTTGAAGTTCTTCTGACACTGAGGGCGTTACGAAGTTTGGACATTCTAGGACCGTGCAGAGGTTGACTGATGGCTTTGTTTGTCAGGGACCTGACTGACCTAAAAAATGTATGGGGGCCACAACTTTTGCAAAGACATTGGTACTAAAAAAGGCAACTGGGACTGGAGAGCGGTTCCCGTAACCCATGTTTTGCATCAAAATCGGCTAAACATAACGTCATTCTGACGTCATTTGCGGTCGACTTATAGCTAGCTACACAAATTAACACAAGGTGTCAAATCGATGCAGCCGATGTGGCGCTGACAGTTTTGTGTCGATGATACGTTTAACGGTTTGAAGATATCGCAGAACGTCGGTTGGGGGCTTTGTAGAGCCCCCCCCCCCCTCCCCAGATACGTACGGGCGAAGTCCTGCGCGGGCTATACAAGAACGAGGCATTTCTTAGCACTGACAGTTTCTTCTCAAAGCTGTCTTCTCTCATGAAAAGTCTAAGTAAGACTTGACTGAAGGTCTGACTGAACTTACCATGATGGCTTCTGTTCTGCGTATATGACCAACCCTCAACACTTCCTTTTGAAATGAGCTTACTTTTTTAGATTTTGTTCAGCGATGATAATGAAACAGTGAAATGAAACTACCACTCAACATAAAAATCAGACATCGCCTTTGAGCACCTCCATCCTCCTCAGAGCGCTCATGGCAAAGCGTACTCGCACCCCGCCGAGGAGGCCGCCCGTCTGGCCATCTTCAAGGACAACCAGCGTCTGATCGCCGAGCACAACACCGGCAACCACTCCTTCAAGCTGGGCGTCAACAAGTTCGCCGACCTCACCAACGCCGAGTACCGCCAGCTGCTCGGCCACAGGGCGGCCGAGAGGCGCGGCCTAAAGGCGTCCGTCAAGCACATGAAGAGGGGCGTCACTGAGGCCACCGTAGACTGGCGTGATTACGGTGTGGTGACGTCGGTCAAGGACCAGGGGATGTGCAGCTCACCCTGGGCGTTCTCGACCACCGGCGCTGTGGAAAGCATGTGGGCCCTGGCTGGAAACCCGCTGATTGCGCTTAGCGAGCAGCAGCTCGAAGACTGCTCCTACAGGCAAGTCATCTGCTTCAGCGCACCTTCACGAAACCCCATGTGAAAGTGGCCATCCCATCTTAGCGTCAGTTTTGAGTTGAAACAGCCAAATTGGGTTCCCTGGCTTGCAATTACCGGTTAGGGCACTCGCAACATCGAGAAATGCTTTAACCCTCGCCGGGCCTATTAGTTTTCTATATACGCGCCGGACGAGGGGGGGGGGGTACGACCCCAACCACGCCGTTTCGCCCCTGGTTTTAAAGCGTCGCGGAAAAACAAGCGAGTGTGCCCTTACGAGACGCAGAGATTGATACCAGATTTTGAGATCCTGGGTCAACCGGTGACCTCTGAGGTCAGGTCAAGTGCCCCAAGGTACAGTTCCGTTTTTGATGAATAACTTCGCAAAAAACGGCCGCAGAGCTGCGATTTTGGCAGCATCGTGTTCGCCTTGCTCAGGCACGTCGAATGATAAACTTTTTGTTTGGGTGAGGTCAACTTAGGGTGTTGACCTCGGGTCACGGTCAGGTCAGCGCCCCCCCCCCCCCCAGCCAGCAATTCGCTTGGGCTAAACTATGGCAAACGTCGGGCAGCTTGGGCTTAGCTTGGGTTTACCCACTTCGATCAAAACCAATGCATTGTTTACTTGGGCTGAGCTTGGGCATGCCGCAGCTATGCCCGAGTGTGGCCAACTGCAGCTCAGCCCGACATCCGCCCGCTCATCCAAAGAAGGCTCAACTTAGGCGGAGCGCGGGCTGATCAAGCTGGCTATCTCCTTTGGCTAACTGGAGTAAAGCCGGAGTTTAGCCATACTTGATCGGCTGTTCACGCATGCGCATTTCTGCGCCAGTCACGTTTTGCTCGGGCTTACATCGGGCTACCGCCAATCGTCGCACAACTAGGGCTAAACTACGGCTGTCCGGAGCTCGCAGAACGGGCATACCTCCAGCGAAGCATGGGCTTTAGTCGGTGTTCTTGTGTCATTCACCGACTTTAGCCCAATCCCTATCCGACTTTAGCCCGACTAAAATTTCGGGCAAGCCGCACTTTAGCCTGCTTGGGTCCGGACTCGGAGTAAAATTGCTGGCTGGGCCAAGGTCACGAAATTGGTCGACGGAGGTCATGTCGCATATCATTCAATTTGGCAGGTCTTCCGGAGTCCATTGGTGACTTTTTCGACTCGCTAGCTCAATTTGATCGTGATTTATTGACGAAAAACGAATTGACGTCATAAGTGAACCTCTGCACAGTCTTCAGATGTCGCAATTTCGCAACGCCCTCACTGCCAGAGGAGCTTTCACAGGGAAAATAAACTTGCAGGATCTAGTATCCATTACGAGTTGCACAACTTGTATATCCCAGATTTTTCCTAAAGGTCATATGAGGTCAGGTCATTTTCGTGACCTCACCATTATAAGTCAATGGGGAAAAATGAAAACTGCTATTCTGGCGCCGGGAACGATCTCCAACTATCTCAAGCACACAGAATCGTGATTTGATGCACTCCTTAAAAGGTTAGATGCGTCACTTTTACAATGTTGACCTTGCGTGACGCCATTTATGACGTCACCAAGGTCATATTAGTTTTTCGTCAATACCTCCCGAGCAAATTGAGCTAGCGAGTCGGGAAAACCACCAATGGACTCAGGAAGACCTGCCAAATCGAATGATATGCAGCATGACCTCTTTCGACCAACATCGTGACCTGGGGGCGCTGACCTGACCGTGACCTGGGATCAACACCCTAGCGGCCATTTTTTGCGAAGATATTCACCAAAAACTGAACCGTACCTTGGGGCACTTGACCTGACCTCAGAGGTCACCGGTTGACCTAGGACCTTAAAATCGGGTACAAATCTCTGCGTCTAGTAATGGCGCACACGCTCGTTTTTTTCGGCGACGCGCTAGCTCCACCAGGGGCGAAACGGGCGAGGGGGGTTCGTACCCGCCCCCTCCCCCCTCGGCCGGCGCGTATGTAGAAAACCAATAGGTCCGGCGGGGGTTAAGCAAAAACATGTCTGTATATATTCTCAGCAAAACTACTTTCTTTTTGCTTCAGCTAGATCAGGGACGTTATTCCAACATTTTATATGCATATTGCATATACCTACCTACTGGTATCAGTCGTAAACATATTGTTCCATATCCTCGCACTATAGGGGGTGATCCCCCTCGTCTGACTTTGCCCCATGCCGGCCGGCAGCTATGGAAACACGCCCTGTGGCGACGGCCTGGCGTCAAACGCCTTCGAGTACCTGGTGGACGAGGGCGGCATCATGTCGGAAGCTGATTACCCGAGCACCATGGCGTCGTACCCGAACTGCAACTACGACCCGGCCAAGGCGACCGCCAAAATCTCCTCCTGGGTGCAGATCCCCGAGGGCGACGAGTCCGAGCTGGAGGACGCCGTCGCCAACGTCGGACCGATAGCCATCCGCACCGACGCCTCCCACTTCTCCTTCCAGCTGTACTCCGGCGGTGTGTACAACGAGCCGCACTGCTCCAGCAGCCGCCTGGACCACGCCATGCTGGTCGTCGGCTACGGCACCGAGAACGGCCAGGACTACTGGCTCGTCAAGAACTCGTGGGGCACCGGCTGGGGTCTCAGTGGCTACATCAAGATGAGCAGGAACGCCGGCAACCAGTGCGGCGTGGCCACCGACGCCAACTACCCCTTGCCGTAAACACCTCGACATTATGGCATATGGCAATGCTAAGCATTAGGTATCTGGGTGTGCAATTTGTGCTCGACATCACTTGCGAAAGCATTCCTGAACATATTTTCTTGACTGTGTTCACAAAATGTTATCCTGCGAAATAAAACCCGGGCGACGACGTAACGATCGAACGAAACGGAGTAAACTACAAAAAGTGTGAATGATGAAAGGCAAAATAGTCAAAACTAAGGTATCCATCGGCCACATATAGGGGAGAGCGGGGAGAGTTGTATCATGTCCAAGTTGTATCAGGGCGAATTGTGCCAAACTTATCCAATAGATAGCGCTCGTGACACGACCAGCCGACGAGGTTTTCCGGGCGCCATCTTTCCCTGTTTTGTCGTGTGGCTGGGTGGACGCGTCTCGAGGTGAGAGCCGATTTTATGTTTTTTTAATGTCATTCTAAAAAATTGAGTTGCAAGAAAATGTGTGTTTTGGGCATTTAGATGTGCACGAATTTCAAATATCTCCGTAGCGGTGGTGAGGGTAGGTTCTAAGGCTGCGTTAGTGAAAATGGATTTCTCCAGCTGTCCGCTGTTTTTGAGCACGAGGATGTTTTTTCCAAGATGGCGGCGAGGTACATGTTGTATCAGAGCCGGGTGGGGTATGTTGTAACATGTATGTATGTATGGGTATGTTGCTTTTGATCGCGAAAGCTAAGCCCTGTCTCGCGTTTGTAGGTAGCTAGTCAATACTCGTTCCATTTCGGCACAATGTGTTGGCTTCTTTGCTCTCAGCGGGCCACTTTTGCATCTAGTCTGTTGATGTTTCGTTCGCTTCGATGTTTCGTTCGGATTGCATTGACCTAAGTTTGGTCTCATAAAAGTGAAGCCTTTGAGCATATACATTGTATTAACCCCATTTAATGTTGTTGTTATGTTCAAAACCAGTAGCAAGCACACTCCCTGAAACGTGAAATACCTAGTGATACAAATTACCCCACCATGTGATACAACTCACCCAAGCCATGGGGCAAGTTGTATCAAAAACATTGTTCTATTCGGCAGACCGTAGAAGAAAAACTGGTAGAGGTAGCGGAAAAGTTACTTTGCACAAAAAAGCAGAAGAATCAAGGAAGGAGATAGTATGGAAATAATGAGTTTATCACGGATAGTTACGAGGTTATGGGTCTCGGAGTAAAAACTGATACAACCCACCCCACTCTCCCCTACATAGGCCCAGGCTTCTACAATATATATACTTTTTAATGTGCCTTCAGGAGCTTCTGCATTGCTATTCACTTGGATTATTACGAGTGCAATTTTCAATTTAATATACCTACTTTATGTGTACCTACCTGTCACTAGAGGATTGAATTAAAGTAGTGACTTTTAAATATGACTTTCTCTAAAAGAAGCTCAGCTTTCACGCATTTCAATATTCTCCCATTGACTTTAATGGACAGGTTATGTCCCGTTCCCATTGACAGGGCGCATGGTGGCGCACGTTGATGGAGGCTGGAGCTTGCAGCTGTCCTAAGTTTTGCCAAGATGGTATGCTGGTGAGCCTGCCGAAGAAGACGAGATCATTCTGAGGTACATCTGATATGAGCACATCGATCTCAGCTCTCAGCTTATGCCTACCCATGTTACCGCAGTGCACACTTAGCACACCTACCTACATCACACACTTCGACTTTCAAGCAGACATGTGCATGGATCCGAGTGATGGATCTATGATCTCAGTGGATCCTGAAGCAAAGTACAGGTTGGGATATATGATCCCACCGGATCCGGCGTGAAAAATACATCTTGGATCTATGATCTCATATGATCTGACGATAAATTAAGAACATGGATCTATGATCTGAGTGGATCCCACCATGCACCACATTTGAAACCATGTTTTAAGGGGTTTCTATGCCAATAAGTGACACAAAACTATGGATTATGACGTGCGATCACATAAAATCACTAAAACAGAACGTTTGTGAGTTGAAACAAGTGATTTTTTTGGGATATATGTGTTAACAAAAAATAATTGAGGATCTGTGATCTCACTGGATCTCAAGCAAAAAATGAGACTCGGATCTGTGATCCATATGGATCTCTCGATAAATTACAGAGCTGGATCTATGATCCCGTCGGATCCGAGATCAGGATCCCTGGGATCAGATCCCAGATCCATTTTCTCGGATCCATGCACATGTCTGCTTTCAAGTGATTTCCTCCCTACTTCGCAAGAATGGTCGCCAATTATTACTCCAACTCTCATATTATTTTATCCGCTCCCGGGTTCATAGTGTGTCACCCACACCCTTTTGGGCGTACTGTATGTTTTACTAAAACATACAGCACGACTTGTGGCGAAACACTGCCCAGGCGCCACCTGTCGGCGTGACAAGCACTGCGAGTGCGGCTGTTCGCCGAGCCGGCGCTGGAGACCGCTGTGCTGCCACGGTCCCGTGCACTGCTCAGTACGATCGAGAAGGCGGCGACATCTATGTGACCACGGGGATTGTTGGCTGATGTATCTAGTCAATGAGCAACCACCATCTATCGAGAGAAGCATGGTGGTCCAGGTAAAAATTTATCGGACCTAAACAAAAATTCAAGATGAAATATAACATTCCCCAAGCTATGAAGAAAGACAGGTCACCCCACCCGTTACAGATTACTCGAATTAGGCTATCGTAACTCACTTGACATCGCTCTTCCAGTTAACACATTCGCCCCCCCCCCCGCCGGATGGGGAGCTAGGTAGTAGGTAGTTATATAGGGAGCCCGCTATCACCGGTCGTAGCTCCGGGGTAGCCCCCGGAGCTACCTTTCCGACCGGGGAGAGCTGGCCTCGCTGGTCTCATACCTTCTCAAAGCACTAGACAGGCCACCGACGCTGGCTCTTTGCCCGGGCGCCCCACCTGACTACCCAGACCCACTCAGTGGTGGGTCACAGACCCTTATGTGGCCACTATACTCGTTTCCTGTGATCAACCATATTCTAGCCGGACAGGCCAACCAATAGGGTAGGGTGGGGCAAAGCGCCCACCCTAACTTTCCAGCCTCAGTATCTCTTTATCTTGCAAATTTGAAGGACAACCAGGTAGCTGATCCGGTAGCTCATTTTCTATGCTTTCTTCGAATAACACATGAGAAACATGTGGGATGTATAGTTTTTGAGATATGCCGTACGATCTGAGAGGACTACAAATCGGGCGTTTTGCCCCACCCGTGGGGCATAACGCCCAATCCTAAAAGTTTCATCACTCTTTTGATACTCTGGCAAAATAATGTAGCATTCATCCATTCCCCATTTCGTTAGACTTCAACTCGACAGATCTAACACCATAAAAAAACATCCTAAACACTGCTGTCGGGCCCACCCCACTCTTAGTCCACCCCACTTATTCAGTCAACGCCTGTCATTGCCTTGAGGAGCGGAGATCATTCTTGCGAATAAATCGTTCCAGACAATACTAACCAGAAAATTGCATATTCAATCAGAATCCTGAGCATTAGAAACGTATCCCGCCACTCACTTTAAGCCCAAAATGCTCGCAGTTACCCGTGCTGTATTACTCCCATTGGCCCATGATGGGCGCTTTGCCCCACGGCAAAGTGGGCGTATTACCCCAACAGCACACCAAAATCAGGCCTGTCAGATTGTGTTGTAAACAAATACATGCTCAAAACGTAGCTTAAAGCTACAGGTTCGACATAGCGATATTTCATTGCCTTCTTTAACCCTCGCCGGACCTATTGGTTTTCTACATACGCGCCGGCCGAGGGGGGGGGGGGGCGGGTACGACCCCCCCCCTCGCCGTTTCGCCCCTGGTGGAGCTAGCGCGCCGCGGAAAAAACGAGCGTGTGCGCCGTTACGAGACGCAGAGATTGGTACCCGATTTTGAGGTCCTAGGTCAACCGGTGACCTCTGAGGTCAGGTCAAGTGCCCCAAGGTACGGTTCAGTTTTTAGTGAATAACTTCGCAAAAAACGGCCGCAGAGCGCCGATTTTGGCAGCATCGTGTTCGTCTCGCTCAGGCGCGTCGAATGATATACTTTTTGTCCGGGTCAGGTCAACTTGGGGTGTTGACCTCAGGTCAAGGTCAGGTCAGCACCCCCAGGTCACGAAGTTGGTCGAAAGAGGTCATGTCGCATATCATTCGATTCGGCAGGTCTTCCTGAGTCCATTGGTGGCTTTCCCGACTCGCTAGCTCAATTTGATCAAGAGTTATTGACGAAAAACTAATATGACCTTGATGACGTCATAAATGACGTCACGCAAGGTCAACATTGCAAAAGTGACGCATCTAACCTTGCAAGGAGTGCATCAAATCACGATTCTGTGTGCTTGAGATAGTTGAAGATCGTTCCCGGCGCCAGAATAGCAGTTTTCATTTTTCCCCATTGACTTATAATGGTGAGGTCACGAAAATGACCTGACCTCATATGACCTTTAGGAAAAATCCGAGATATACAAGTTGTGGGACTCATAATGGATACTAGATCCTGCAAGTTTCATTTCCCTGTGACATCTCCTCTGGCAGTGAGGGCGTTGCGAAGTTGCGACATCTGAAGACCGTGCAGAGGTTCACTTATGACGTCATAGGTCAGTGACCTGACCTGACCCAAAAATGCGGTTGGTGTCAAAAGATCCGGCTTGGATCAAAGGTCAGGTATGCCAAGTTTCAGCTCTCTATCGCCAGCGTGTTCGGAGCTATCGCGAAAAAAACCCTATGGGGGGGGGGCGGCACCCGCCCCCCCCCCTCGGCCGGCGAGGGTTAACCCTCGCCCGTATTGGTGTTTTTCCAGCCGCGAACGTATAAGGGGGGGGGGGTCCGTTGGACCCCCCCTTGCCGTTTCGCCTCTGATCGAGCTAGAGCTTCGCGGAAAAAACGAGCGTGTTGCCCGGAACGAGAGGAAGCCGATGATGCCTAATTTTAAGGTCCTAGGTCATTGGTTGACCTTGCAGGTCAGGTCAATGACCCAAAAGTCGGGAAAATCGGGACCTGTTAGAACGTCGTAAAGTGTGGCTGCTATGGGGTTTTTCGGGGCGCTGATCACGGATATCATGTTAGTTTTGATCACGGATGATGTCTTTATGCATTTAGTCCAGGTCGGGTCAGGTCAGGTTAGGTCAACCAGTAGGGGTCCTGCCGGGTATTCCTAGTAGGTGTCAACCGCCTCTGACAGCTTCGTAACATGTTACGAAGGCACCAAAACTACTTCGTAAATGTTCATATGGTTGCTAAATTCGAATTCAGCTCCAAAAACTGGCCTAGAAACATGTAAAACTCGAAAAAGTGAACCGAGGTCACCAAAGGTCAGTGACCTGACCTGACCTTCAGGTGACCTTGACACCCACCCTAATGCATGGGGGCAACATCATGTCACATGTTTGAACGCTTGAAACCACGAAAAGACTGCAAACGCGCGGCTAACGCGAGCCGACATACGTCGAATCGCGATTCCGGCCAAACATGGGTCTCGTAAAGTAGGTCACAGGTCAAAGGTCATTGGGGTCAGGGTCATGAAATTTTCAGGGTAGGTGTAAAATTGATTAACGCGAGGGTACAGAAAGTTTCGTGGCGATCGGCCGCTTTTTACGCGAGTTATTCGCGAAAAACCATGGGGGGGTCCGTTCGACCCCCCCCCCCCCCTATACGGGCGAGGGTTAATCTCTATCAGACAAAGTTTTAGCAGTAAGGAAGCATATATTTCCTAAAAATGTAAGAAATTTACTAATCTTTATCTTACGTCCAGAATCACCCTACTTGTGGAACCAAAAACGGGAGTACAAGCAGACTGCTGAGTGTTCTTGAAAATGGCTATCAAGGATTCTTTGAAAAGTCGAGCATTTCACAAAAAAGAGGGGTAGGCGTTTTACCCGCCCTGCAGGCGCTTTACCCCACTCTACCCTAAT